TTAACTCAAGGAAAAGACTACGATTCAGCATACATACAGAGCCTTAGCAGTGACTCAGTCTGGGAAACATTAGAAAAACTGGAATATTTGCCTCTGAACCTCTTGAAACAGACAAAAAAATAGTACTTTTAAATTTTAATGAGCCCCTACACAGGGTACCTGAGATTGTGTGACAAACAAGTAGATAGGATCTGAGGTATGGAAACAGAAAAAATTGAGTAGATAATTGAGCACTGTAACTACTCACCCCACTATGGGACAAAGGCTGCACAGTCTGAGGCAGGATGAAAGGATCATTAGGACAGCAAGAGAATGACTCCCACAAGCTGTCTTCTACCTTCAGATGTGTGCTGCACATGTGCAGGTGCATACACACACACACACACACACACACACACACACCACACAATTTTAATATTTGGTTTTAAGTGCAGACTGTGGAGGACAGATTAGGAGGTGTGTCACTGGGAGTGAGTTGTGAGGTTTCAAAAGCCTCGGCCATCCAATTAGCTTGTTCTTTTCCTTTATCATGGCCTTGGTCATGGTGTGTTGTCACAGCCCTAGAAAGGTACCAAGATATTTGTCATTGGTACCATGTCTGAGATATTTGTTACTACAAAGTGTATCCATTCCTGTGTGCTTAGTCATTTCAGAACTTTTTTTTACTAACTCTGTAAAAAAAAAAAAACTGGAAATAGAGGACAAAATTTTAGACTGAGGTTTCTTGTGATGTGACAGAAATCTGAAGAAGAGTACCCAGGAGAAGTCAGCAGGCCCCTGGGAGCTAACTTGATCCTTTCCTCATGTTCCCTGACCCTATTCTAGGTCTGTCTGTGATCATCCCCTGGAATAGGATCTGAGATCCAGACTAGGAGTTTCTTCTGGCACCAACTGGTACTCCATCCTTCTCTGTCTTTATCCTCCCAGCAGTGGAAAAGGATGTAGTTAGTAAACTGTTATCATTTCATATCCATCCCTTGCCTTCATGTCCTGGCATTAGAACTCCCTTCTCCCTAAAAGTCTAGAGAGGAAGCAGAGACCAAGTCCCCCCATTGCTCTGCTAAACATTCTTGCAGCTGAGCACAGCTTGAACCCTTGACTAGTGTATACCTGTACCTTGTGTAGGACTTGGTGTGGATAGGCTTTTGTCTTCTATCCCTACGTGTAAATACTCCAGTTTGTGAATTTTTATTTTTCTAAGATAAAAATTTTGAAAGCTTCTAATTTCACATATAAAATTAGTTTGTGAATAAATAATAAGAATTTGAATTCCATTTCTTCTATAAGTTGTAAATCAGTCTAGGGAATATATAATATATAAGTAGCAATCAGTCAGAGACTTACACTATGTTAATTGCTTCCTATTTCTCATACCCGAGACTACACCCTTGTCCTTGTCTACATGAAAACTCAGGGCTGATGACATTTGGAACTGTTCTTCATTGTGGGTGCTACTGTGATGATTGACATCAGTGGTCTCAAACCTTTTTCTAGAATTCCCAGGCCTCTTCTCAGACCCCACTGTCTTAGACTGTAAAGCAAGGGGCTCACATTTTACTTTTTTCTGTCTCTCCTTTGCAATGTCTCATATTGCACTTCAGGCTGGCCTAGAACTCACCATGTAGTGTGACAGCCGATCTTCAATGTCACCTGAACTGGATTTTGAATCTCCCAGGATTTGCAATTCTGGAAATGTCTGTGAAGGGTGTTTCCAGAGAAGATTAGCTGAGGAGGGGAGAGCTGCACTGAATGTGGGTGACAACAGCCCATGATCTGGGGCCCAGACTGAAGAACAGGGAGAAAAAGGAGAAAGCCAGATAAGAGCCAGCATTCCCACACTCTGCTTCCTGATTCCTGGAGATGTGAGTCATCCCAACCACATGCTCCAGCTGCCACAAACCCAGCCATGCCTTTCCTGCCAGGATGGGTTGAACCTTCTTAAATCAAAATCCAAAACAAATTTTTTCTTGCCTTAAGCTACTTCCTTCTTTTTTCAGATTTTTGTTTGTTGTTTGTTTGTTTTATGTGAATGAGAAAACTGAGTGATAGTACATTTGGATTGACCTTCTACTCTCAGAAATGATCCCGCCTCCCTCTGAGAGCTGGTGTTGTAAGTGCGAGAATATAATCTTCTATAAATGTATTGGGATGAACTGAAACTGTGGAAATATGTCTATATATTGAAATCTTATGAGGGGAACCAGGCCCAAGAACTTATGAGACATCACCAGTCAATGAAAGGGTACATCTTCATCAAAATCCCAGAAAGACGTGAACACCCAGCACTGTAATGTCATGGACCCCACACCAATCTGTTATTTGGCACTCAGTATGTGAATCAGTGGCTGACAGAGAACTCCACACTGTCCCTGGGGCTTCAGCTTGACTATGCTGATGTGGACTACTTTGCTATAATTTACTCATCTTCCTTTCATCCATCTGCATCTCTGTCCATTCCTTTCCCTAGATCTGATCCCACCTTTTACCTCTGCAGCTAGAGTCATTTCTCAGTCTTCTGCTCAGTGTCTGACTCTAGAGCAGCAGCTTCTTCTGTGCATCATTTGGGTTCCCTACCATATTAAAAAGACTCTTTACATTTCTTTAAGGGTTATTTTCATTTTCTGTGTATGAATATTTTGCTTACACGTATGTTCATGCACCAGGTATATTCCTGGTGCCTGCAGAGGCCAGAAGAGGGCATCAGATACCCTGGAACTGGGAGTAGAAGATGCTTGTGAGCCACTGTGTGAGTGCTAAAAATCAAACCCAGGTCCTCTACAAAAGCAGTGAATGCTCTTAACCTGAGTCATCTCTCTAGCCTCTATTTACATTGATATAAGCCCACTTCTGAAGCATCATGAGATGCTACTGCAGCCTCCTTAACCTTTGTATCTATCTATTCTATAACCCGCATATATGCATATATTTACTGTGTGATGTGTCACATTTCAGTTAATATTAGTAATTAATATTGGAATAAAAGGGCTGTAGCGATGGCTCAGTGGTTAAGAGCACTGCCTGCTCTTCTAGAGGTCCTGAGTTCAATTCCCAGCAACCACATGGTGGCTCACAACCACCTGTAATGAAATCTGTTGCCCTCTTCTGGCCTGCAGGCATGCATGCAGGCAGAGTACTGTACACACAATAAATGAATAAATCTTTAAGAAAAAAAAAGAGAATGGAATAAAAGAGCATGTGTGTTGTTTCAATTAGATTACCATGGAAAGAAATATTACCTGCTAAGTTCCTAAAATGAATACCATCACATTTAGTGAATTTATTGTTACTTAATTGTGACATTGTAGAATGTCGGATGTTCTGTGTTGTGTGTGCTGTTCAAAGAACAAGAGTCACCCAGAATGTGATTTTAGGCTCTCTGGTATCAGGGGGAACAGTTTCTGAGAACTGAACCTCAAACCTCTGCTCAGAAGCATATTTATTGATTACACACAAAGGCTGTGTTTGGAGCACAAGGTCCTTATACCAAAGCCCCTTTGATCTATATGTTCTCTGAAGAAAATTATCATGCCCCCACAACTTTAATCTTTATTGTGTACTGTTTGCAGTACCCAATAATTCAAGACCTGCAAGTGTGCCCAGATAGTCTTGTGACCAAAGTCATGCAAGGGACTGAAAATTTCCTCAGAAAAAGTTTATAAATCATGGAAAACAATCAGTGTACTATGATTTTTCAAGTTCTAGATACATTCATCAAGCACTAATACATTCTACTAATACCCTAGAAACAGTGAGAAACAACTATTCCATTGTCATGATAACAATGTATAGGGATACAATTGTATCCCTAGATACAATGACTCTACTAGATTCCCACTACAGTGGAAAGATACAAGCATGGCCATCCATGTTTCTTATGTAAACAGAATACTCCTGATACACTGTGAATGTAAAAAATAAAAACAGAGATCACAACTCAAAGGGAGTTTATTCTGGAGTCAAATGTAAGTGACAATAGCCTGGGACACAGATTTCAGTTTCTATAAATTCCGTGTCCTAAAATGGTAACAATTTTATTGTTTTCACAGTAAGAGGACAACAACAACAAGGCACAAACAACACATCTTAGAAATACAGTGGTGGAGACATCAGGCAGGCAGGTTGTATCCATGCAGGGAAATCTGTTACAGATCTGAGATGCTCTCTGATGACATGAGTTGGTGGAAGCTAGGGGTCTGTACATTCTGAAAGGATTTACCTAATAGTCACAAGGATGTCAGGTCACACACAGAGAGGAGTAATAATGGATATTTAAGGGGCTAGGACACCCTTATTTATTTGTTTGTTTGTTTGTTTGTTTGTTTGTTTTGTTTTGCTTCGGTTTGGATTGGTTTAGTTTGGGTTTTTGGGTTTTTGAGACAGGGTTTCCCTGTGTAGCCTTGGCTGTCCTGGAACTCTCCCTGTGAATCAGACTGGGCTCGAACTCACAGAGGTTTTCCTGCATCTGCCTGCATCTGCCTCCCGAGCGCTGGGATTATAGGCCTGCGCCACCACAGCCTGACTTGGTGTTCTTTTTAAAAATTTATTATTGTTATGTTATGTGTATTGGTGTTTTAACTGTATATTTTTTTTCTCCACACTTTCTATAGCTGTTTACAGTCCTCCATTTCTGACCCTAACTCAAAGGCATTACTCTCCTCTCTACATTACCCCAAGATTAAGGCTTGCAAGAGCTGTTCTCATCCTATGCCCAACCCCTGCTAAAAGTAATGAAATGGTGCCAGAGCATCTTCTGAGTCTGGTTTTATTATTGTTTTTGTTGCTAGCCGTATGTTTTTCTTTTTAATCAAGAAGAATTCACAGATTAGAACCCTTTATTCCCAGTAATGTTTGGACACCCACACATTCTTTTCTACTGTATGTGGGAATTTCAGAGAACCCACTCAGACTCATGGTAATCCGTCCCCACATAACCACAATGCTATAAAACTCCACAGAGAGGAACAAAGACCCAATCTCCTCAACTTCTCCAAACACCGAGGATGAGGTGCACAGTGCCAAGAGCCCTCCTTCTGTCGCTGGCAGCCACCCTGTCCCCAACTCTGGCCCTCTGGGATGAGTACCAGGTGGAGAGAAAAACCATTTCTGAAGGAAGAAACCAAGTCACTGGGCTGGGACCGCACCCAGAAAGCCATGTCTCCGCCCTCGCCCAACGAGCCCTCCCTTCTCCCGGAGGTGGGCAGTTAGTTTCAAGCTCCCTTCTCTCCGCCTTCGGACCTGCGCCCCCTGCACACCTCCCAAGGGGTGCACCTGTTTCTCGATCTGGCCAGAGGCAGGATCATCGCGCGCCACTCATAGACTCACACTCCCTGCGTTATTTCTCCACCGCCTTCTACAATCCTGGCTTCGGCGAACCTCGGGTCAGGGTCGTCGGCTACGTGGACAACACACAGATCTTGAGCTTTGACAGCGACAATGAGAGTCAGCGAGTGGAACCGCGGGTGCCATTTATGGCGCAGGATCCTGAGCATTTGGATGAATTGACGCGTATCGGCAGGCGCATCTTAATAATTGGCCGAATCGAACTGAGGGCCCTGTTCAACTACCGTAGCAAGAGAGAGAATGGTGAGCGACCCTAGATTCGTAATGCTAGTGTACAGTCTCCAAATATTCTTAGGGACATAGGAACATATCTTGGATTAGTGAAATTCACCAAGTTTCAGCCATTCTGGGGAAGCTTGAGGAAAATTATTGGGGTTTTATTTCACTGTCAAATAGGCTTTAAGCAATCATGCACAGGCTATGTGTATTGAATGGAACTAATCTAGGAGACTGTACTGATCTACCTGGCTGCAACAGGGTCTCACACTATCCAGGAGATTTGCGGCTGCGACATAGGGCCAGACCACCGCCTACTCCGTGGGTATAAGCAGATCGTTTACGATACCCAGGATTACATCTCTCTGACTGAGGACCTGCGCTCCTGGATCGCAGTGGATACCAAGGAGGCTCAGAGCACCAGGCGCAAGTGGGAGGCAGCTGGGTTTGCAAGGCCATGGAAATCTTTCTTGGAAGGAGAGTGTGTGACGTGGCTTCTCAAATACCTGGATAAAGGGAAGGAGATTCTGCAGCGTGTAGGTAAGAGGGTTAGGGTAGTTTCTGTCCGCCTTTGAGCAGAATTTCTGGGAAGAAAGAAAACAAATTCGTAAGCCACCTATTGCAAGGGAAGGTTCTTCTCTGTCCAGCTGGTCCCCCGGACCGGTTTCTCTCTGCCTGCCTGTTCTCAGAGGCTTAATATCAGTTACAATTGTCTGGCTTATTGCTTAGGCCATTACTGACTAGTTCTCTCTATAAATTAACCCATTTCAATTAATTTCTATTTCATCCTGGGGGTTCTTGGATGGCTACTTGGAGTTTTCTGACTCTGTCTTCTCTCGGTGTATCTTTGTTTGGACTTCCAGCCTAGCTTTACTATGCTAAGCCATTGGCCGAAACTGCTTTCTTTATTCATTAATCAATAAAAGTAACACATATACAGAAGGACAACCCACATCAGGTAATTCCCTTTTGATCTCAGTCCCTGTTTCTGCCATTACTCACAGATCAGGTGTAGCTACTCAGTCACTGGGTTTTACTCCACTTGGAGGTGTACAGGTTCAGCCCTTTATTCTAGAACTTTCCAAGGAATACAGAGTTCTGCATCCTGGGCCCATACAGCTTAAGTGCTGCTCTCTAGATCTCCAGCCCAACTCTGGGGATGATCACATGATCAGTGGTCAAGTTGTCCTCAGGAAGGATCAGACGTTTGTTCTTCTCTGACTCTTCTCAGATCCTCCAAAGACAAATGTGACTCATCACCCCAGACCTGAAGGAGGTGCCACCCTGAAGTGCTGGGCCCTGGGCTTCTATCCTGCAGACATCACCCTGACCTGGCAGAGGGATGAGGAGGACCTGACCCAGGACATGGATCTTATTGAGACCAGACCTGCAGGGGATGGAACTTTCCAGAAGTGGGCAGCTGTGGTGGTGCCTGCAGGAGAAGAGCAGAGATACACATGCCATGTGCTGCATGAGGGCCTGCCTGAGCCCCTCATCCTGAAATGGGGTAAAGGGGTGTGTGTAGGCCCAGAGTCTGTCTTAGGGAAAGCAGGAGCCCTTCTGCAGACCCTGAGCAGAGCCAGGGTCTCTCACCTCTATCCTCTCCTACTCTCTCTCCCAGAGCCTCCTCCACCTCCCACCACCCCCATCATGGGAATCATTGCTGGGCTGATTCTCCTTGGAGTATTGGTCGCTGGAGTTGTGGTTGCCATTGTGATGAGGAAGAGTGCAGGTAGGATAATGACAGTGTCTGAGATTTGGGCCTCACTGAGAAATTTCAAGGCCTGGATGTAGATGTGCCCATGTCCTGTTTGTACTGTAAAGTGTATCCATTCCTGTGTGCTTAGCCACTTCGGGACAAATATTATTATTGTCATCATCATCATCATCATCATCTCTGTAAGGAATACCTGGAAATAGAGGACAAAGGTTTCATACTGAATATTCTCGTGATGTGACACAAATCTTGGGTGGAGTCTCCAGGAGGGGAAATGGCTGGGAGGATACTTGATCCTGTTCTCATGTTTCCTGACCCTGTTCTAGGTCTGTCTGCAACCATACCCTGTGATGCAGGAGAATTGTCAGTATTCTGTCAATCATATTTTAATAAAACGCTGATTGGCCAGGCAGGCAGTATAGGCAGGAAAACCAGACAGAAAGTAGAGGTGATGCAATGAGAACAGGAGAATTCTGGGAAGCAGAGAAGTTCCTCTGCCACTCCTGCGCAGATCACTGAAGAGGCAACATGTAAGCTGTCACACTGAGAAAGGTACTGAGCCCATGTGGCTAACATAGATCAGAATAATGGGTTAAGATAAGTCATAAGAACTAATAAGTAGCCTGACCAAATGGGCCAATCAGTTTATAACCTTATGGAGTCCTGTGTGTGATTTTCTTTGTTGCTTGCCGGCTGTTGGGGTACCAGGAGGGACAGAAACCCCAACAAGCCGGTCCTCATACTACATATGGCGCCCACATGGATAACTGAATCCACAGAAAGCTTGAGAAAGCTTGGGAAAGAATAGAGTAAAGCATGTTTTGTTGGTAGCAGCAATTTCTCGGGTCTGCTCTGCTTGCGAGAGGCAAGCAAGTGCTCTCATTTGAGAGACTTCCTGACTCAGCTTTAGCTGCAAAACCTTGCAGCTCTTATTAAGAGGTCCTGCCACGAAACACTTAAACGGTGTTGGTGAAAACCTGAATGCATGCTTTTCGGGTTTTCAGCAGTAGCAGGAAAAAAGCTCCGTCGTTTTAAAATGCCGACTTTCTGGGTCGACCTGCCAGGGCAAACTCTGACTCTTTCTGGCAGGCAGTCCGACTGAGTGTGGTCTGTGAGTAGAATGTTGCAGCTTGCTTGCTGGCAGTGACCTTGAAACGCCATAGAGTTGTGGCAGTGAACACAGCTCTGGTTGGTATCTCAGCCATGAGACTGGAGAGCTGGGGACTGGACTGGATCTAGCCATCAAAGCCACAGCTCTCCATATTGCTTAGTAAATTAAAGGCTCATGTAGTCAAAAAAAGAGAGATATACAGTAAAGAGAGATTCAAAGAGGAAGAAAACCTCTAAATGGTTTACATTGTGTTAAAAATATATGCAGGCTAAAGGTTAAAGTCTTTAAAAATAAAAAAGAAAGAAAGGGAGAAATAGGGTGTGGTGGTACACACCTTTAATCCCAATGCCTGGGAGGCAGAGGCATATTGACCTCTGTGACTTCAAGGTGTGGTAGCACACGCCTTTAATCCCAATGTCTGGAAGACAGAGATAGACAGATCTCTGAATTCAAGGTGTGGTAGCATACACCTTTGAGCCCAGCACTGGGGACACAGAGACCGAGGGATCTCTGTGAGTTCAAGGACAGCCTGGTCTACAGCTTTATTCCAGGACAAAGATATACAGAGAACCTGTCTCAAAAAGTTAAAAGTAAAAATAAAAGAAATAGAGGTTGAAATAAAGCCGCATAAAGATGGAAAATACACAGAGAATCTTGATACTGTATGCTATTATGCTCTCTTTGAATTGTTTGAATGCTGAGGAAGGAGAAACAGCTGCTAAAAGACTTTTGTTTATAAATGATGCAGAATTAATCCAAGATAGACATTTTGAAAATACCTTGGCTTCAAAACTGAAGTCAAAAGATATGTTACTTTGGAGAAGAGATTTTGCTTTTGTTTCCACAGAAAATGAGAGGCTATGGATTCATTCTGAGTTAAGAAAAATCAGTTTTGATCAAGGGAGGCCACCTGAGAAATCTCCGACAAGAACAGATGGCCCAGATGTCTGAATTCTGCATCCAGAACAGATTCAAGACTGCTGTCTGAGATGATCAAGAATCACAGGATACTCCAGTCAGGACTTGAAGATAATTCTAAATTTTCTTTAGGTCCCCATAAGATCATCAGCGCCCCCAACCAGCAGGAAGTAGCCTGAAATACTGCGCCCACATTCCCAACAAATGAACTATGGGTATTTTCCTTTGTTTTAAAAAAAAAAAAAGAGGGAAATGATGCAGGAGAATTGTCTGTATTCTGTCAATCATGTATTTTAATAAAACGCTGATTGGCCAGGCAGGTAGTATAGGCGGGAAAACCAGACAGGAAGTAGAGGTGATGCAATGAGAAAGGAGAATTCTGGGAAGCAGAGAGGTTCCTCTGCCACTCTTGCGCAGACCACCTAGGAGGAAAGATGTGAGCTGCCACGCTGAGAAAGGTACGGAGCCATGTGCTAACGTAGATAAGGATAATGGGGTAACATAAGTTATAAGGACTAACAAGAAGCCTGACCTAATGGGCCAATCAGCTTTATAACTTATAGAGATCTCTGTGTGATTGATTTTCCTTGGGGCTTGCTGGCTTGTTGGGGTACCGGGCAGGACAGAAACCCCATCAAGTCAGCCCCCTCATGTTACAACCCTGGAATATTATCTGTGGTCTAGGGCTAGGAGTTTTCTCCGGCACCAACTCATTCTGCATCCTTCTCTATCTTTATCTTCCCAGAGATCGAAAAGAATGCAGTTTGATAACCTTATTAGTTTATTTCCACCCCTCATGCCCTGGCATTAGAATTCCCTTTTTCTTAAAAGTCTAAAAAGGAAGCAGAGACCTAGTCCCCCATCACTTTGCTGAATATCCCCACAACTGAGCACAGCTTGTGTCCTTGGCTCCACGGTGTACACCTGTACCTTGTATAGCACCTGGTGTTAATGGGCTTTTGTGTTCTGTCCCTTGATATGAAGACTCAGTTTGGGTTTTTTTAATTTTTCTAAATTAAAAAAATGTAATGTTATAAATTTATATATAAAGTTTTTTGTGTTTAAATGATAAGAATTTCCATTATCTTTTGCTGCGGGAGTACCTTCTGCTGCTTCAACCAATAGTTGCTGAAGCACGAGCCCACAGTGCTGCGGGAGCACCTTCCACTCCATCAGCCAATAGCCGCTGAAATATCAGCCCACTGGGGCGTGGTATATTTCTCTTTAAAAGAAGAGCAGCAAGCTTGGCTTGGCCTCTTGGTTCCGGCGCTTGGTTCTGGCTCCTGCTCCAGCGACTAGGTTCCTTTCCTGACGGTTTATGTGCATGTAAGTTTACCCCCCAAAATAAATAGCCCTTTAAAGCATAACTGGTGTGGGATTGATTCGCCATTAATCTTTGTCTGTAAGTTGGAAATCAGTCTAGGGAATATTCAGATAGCAGTCAGTCAGAAACTGATTATATAAACTGCTCACTATTTCTTGTACCTGAGGCTGAAGCCTATAGGAGGGAGATCATATGTCCCTGTCAACATGACTTCTCAGGGCTGATGATGTCACCTGGGACTGTTCATTGTGTGTTTGCTTCTCTCATGGTTGACATCAGGGACCTCAAATCTTGTTTTAGAATTCTCAGACTTCTTCCCAGACTCTTCCATCTTAGAATGTAAAGCAGGGAGCCCAGATATTACTTTTCTCTCTCTCTCTCTCTTTAGTAGGTTCTCACACTGTACCCTAGGCTGGCCTTGAACTCAGAGATCAGTCTTCCTCCGCCACCATGCTGGACGCTTGCATTTTAATTTACTGTGTATGTATGTCTGTGTGTATACACTCAATGTGCAGATGTGAGAAGATAACTTTTGGGAGTTGATTCTCTCCTTCCACAATGTGGATCTCTGTGAGTTCAAGGCCACCTTGGGCTACATAAGATCAATGCAAAAATAAATCCAGGTGGTGGTGCCCCACACCTTTAAATCCAGCGCTAGATGGAAGATAAAGTGAGAGGAGAGAGAGGCTCTGTCAGCTTAGTCTGCAGTCACCCATCTTTGGTAGAGGTAAGCCTTTTCTAGTGGCTTGGCTGCTTTGCTTTTCTGGTTTTCAGGTTGAACCCCAATAGCTGTCTCTGGGTTTTTATTATTTGTGCTACTAGCAAGTTCCTTCACCTACTGATCCATCTCATTGGCCCCTCATCTGAATTCCCTTGCTGGGAAGTACATGGACTATGGTTAGGACAGTTAAGAGCAAGATATCTATGGTAAGAGCTCCTCTGTATCAATAGGCCCTTATCATGACTTTTAGGTTTCTGGATTTTCACCAGCACAACTCTTAGACAAATTTAAACATTTAACATTTTTGTTATGGAAGTTTAATGCCACCGTTGTAGTATCATAAGGATATAAGAATGTTACATTAGTGCAAGGCATGGTGGCACACACCTTTAATCCCACAACATAGGAGGCAGAGGTCTGTGAGTTCAAGACCAGTGTGGTCTACATAGCAATTTCCAGGTCAGCCAGGGCTATGTAGTGAACCTCTTTAGAATCCAGCTACTGCCAGGCCACAATTCCTGCAGCATCCCCAACCCCATCCTCACCCCGAGGTACTGCTAAGACCCTGTCTATGAATCTCTGGATAATAGACTTTCAGGTATCAGGATTTCTCACAGGAGCAAGTGAGTTTATGTCAAAGTAGGTATTTGTGGCCTTCTGTTCCCCATTTCCTTCTCTGCCTCTTGCTGGGATTCAGAGCCTGGCTGCAGGCTTGTGCTGTGCAACCATCTCAATCCTCAAAGAACTATAAAATGGCAGACATGCTTCTGTCACATGGGCACTTAATCCCCTCTTCAGAGGTCTCACACATGTTGTCTGTCTCTGGTGCTGGGGCCTGAACTCCTCTAAACCATGCTGTTGTCTGTCTATCCATGACATTAGCAACTCTTTTAATAAATTCCTTATCCCCAACAGTCCATCTCAGTGTCTGTCTTGAATTCACATCCCAGTTGTTTAAAAAAAAAAAAAAAGCATTTTATTTCTATACCCCTAGACCAACCTCAAGCTTCCTCCATTCCCTCTGAAGAGAATGACATCTTACAGGAAGTATCGTCCAGTGTGGGATTCACACACACGGGGTGGGACCATCCATGACCACAGACCCATGTTGCCTAGGAAAGGAACAAAGCTTTCCTCTTAGAAGCCCAGGGTCACCTCTCACAAGACGAAGAAAATTCCGCTTCTCAACAGGATGTCTGATTTCACTTCCTCACCTGTAACCCTAACATTTTCAACAAAGGAAGATGAGCAAATGGATACAAGTCCATTAATTATAAAATATTTAAGTGCCATAAATTCTGTTATCTCCTTGTACTGCTGTGTACTGGTTTACTGTGATCATCCTCTGTTTCATCTTTCTTAGATTCCCTTAAGCCCTGACTTGTCATTTCTCTTTGCTTTGTATTTAGAGAGAGAAAATTAGCCTGGCATTGATACCCCAGGTATACCATGAATCTCCCTCAGTACTTTCGCCAATACTTAAATATGGTTCAGATTCCATAGTCTTAACCCAAAGCTCCAGTTTTTCATAGCACATTGATAATTTCTTGTTTTATAACAGACAAACAGAGCCCTTGCAGATTCCCATTGTTCAGAAAGCTCCTGTTGAATGAGGAGGCCCTGGAGCCTCTGAATCTTAAAGTCAATGGCTGCAAAACCCTGTTCTAGCTTAGAACATCCATGGAGAACTCCAAAGCTCACCTCAAAATGCCTAACATTGATTATTTCTGTCCACTCTATTCTCCCAAACAGCAAGCAGTTAGGTACATTTCTAGGAAATGCCGGCTGCCACTAATGGATTCCTAAGCCTCCTCTCTCTTGTTCTCTCCCTCACCCACCATTTCAGGATCTGTTCTCTCTCTCTGAAGCTCTACTTCCTGTGAAACTCTACATCCAGCACTGTCCATATCTCTGAACTGCAGTTTGAATGGTTTTGATAAATAAGCCTCGGGGCTGGAGAGATGGCTCAGAGGTTAAGAGCACTGACTGCTCTTCCAGAGATCCTGAGTTCAATTCCCAGCAACCACATGGTGGCTCACAGTCATCTATAATGAGATCTGGCGCCCTCTTCTGGCATGCAAGCATACATGGAAGGAATGTTGTATACATAATAAATAAATAAATCTTTAAAAAAAAAAAGCCTCTCAGCTTTATTACCAGGAAAACAATGATTGCTGAAAGCTTTCCTGGACAGCCCTTCCCTTATCAGGTCCATCTAGTGCCTGACTTTTCACAACGATTGGACCCCAACACAACACATGGACCCCAGTGTCTGTGTGCAGTGTCAGCAACAGTCATCCTGATTGACAACACTAGCCTCTTATACAAGGATCCTCATTCACCCCCAGCTCTTAATGCTGCGGTGTCTACTCCCTTACAAGTCCTTAGGACAAAGTATCTATGGGCCAGCAGACCTCCTGTGAAGAGGTCCTGTCAACATTCCTCATCACCTTATATCACTTAACACCTTACATCTGTCTGCATACATCTCTTAGACTTAGATCCTCTTTCCCATAGCATGATCACCTCACAGTTATAAAAATGGTGTGAAGCAACAAGAGGTTCTTGGATGCCTCTTCAAATAACCCAGGTGTATTTCTCTGTGGTGATGCCTCTTAGAAAGCAGTTTTAGAAGACAGATTATAATTGGCTATGCCACAGTTTCCCTAGGACACACTAAGCCCACTAGGGAGTCAGCCCCTGCTAACACAACCAGAAGGACCAGCTTTCCAGGCTGCTCCAGGGCTGTCTAAAGAATGCCACAGAGTAGCAGGATTTAGGAATAACTTTTTAAAAAAAAAAAAATCTGAGGGTCTTAGAAACAGAATGAGATGTACATGTGTACTGACGGTCACTCTCTTTTTCTCTTTCTCCGAATCCATCCCTCTCTTTGTCAAACACAACTAATATATATTCAACAGAAATTCTTAGGCAATAAAAGTTCACTTGTAGTTTACATTTCATTTCTAAAGTAAATGATAAGAAGCAGAGTTTCTGATAACACACGTGTAACATATCTATCAGCTTCCTAATCAGTGGGGCAGCTGCAGCTGTTAAGAAGTTCCAGCCACTCTGTTATCCATTAAGGCGATAACCTATAAAGGGTTATAAAGGGGGCTATAAAGTTAAACTATTGTGGAGTCTAGAAAATAGAGAAATTGTGCATTGCATTCTATGTTTCTAAGTGTAATAAACATTTTGAACTAACATTTTGTGATTGACAATCTTAAAAATGTCAGTTTCTCTTGAACTTAGAGCTCTGGCTGACAGGAAAGTGCAAATTGCAGCCTGCACAGCTGGGAGTGAGTCAGGACTTCAAGGGGCAGCTGGGAGGCTCCTCCTTGGTGTGCAGCTCAATAAAAATCGAGAAGAAGAAGAAGAAGGAGGAGGAGGAGGAGGAGGAGGAGGAGGAGGAGGAGAGGGAGGAGAAGGAGGAGAAGGAGAAAAAGAAGAGGAGGAGGAGGAGAAAAACTCAGGGACTCAATCGACTACTCCATCCTAAACATTCTGAGTACTGTCCAAGGCAATACAAGTAGGATTTGTTAAAGTATAAATCTCAAGAGACAAAACAGATAAAACTCCTGAACAAGATGAAAAGACCTTTGTTCACTCCTAAGACATTTCATCCCACCAATTAAATGTAATCTAATCCAAGTCAGTTTTCGATTCAAACTTCAACAGTTGAAGAACTGTAACATTTCCAGTCATTTCATAAGCTTATTGCTCAAGTAAGATAATCTTGATGAAAGTGTTAGAAAGGCTAAAACATTCCAGATGGTGTAGAACATCTATACCAACATGTCCTACAAATAACAAATTCAAGAGTTCTCTTCAAGTAAAGAAACCTTTCAATCCTGAAATACATCAATAACAAAACACATGGAAAATAAAAAAATCTTTCTTCATAAATAATTGCTGATACCTAGTGATGCCGCAGGGCTATCGGTAATGAAAAGTCCCCAGACTATCTTAATACAAAGTATACAGCTTTAATAAACAGAAGTAAGACTTACACCAGCTTACACCAGAATCCAAAAGATCCATCCAGACGCAAGGGCCAGGCGAGAGAGAGCTAGTGGGAGCGCACTCACCAGGTTTATCGGTAAACTTTACCCTAAGGGCGACACGCCCCACGAACAGAATGTGATTGGCTGAACTCCCCTATCATCTCCCCCTTTTTTCTAAAATAAGACAGACCAAACCAAATACAACTATATACAATAGAAGCAAATAATAAATATAAAGTTACAAACAATAAACAATATTAAGCAAGAAACATATAACAAAAGTTCTACTAAACATTTTATTTTAAGGAGTCTAAATAACGTAGATGGTAACTACAGCTATCTAATCTTTAACTCCATCAAAGATCTGAGAAGGAAAATAATTTTACTCAAGCAGCCCGGAAGTACAAGCGGGAAACTTCTGAAAATGTGCAACAAATGGAAGAGACAACTGAATACCTGGGCAATCACCCAAAGTCTCGTATGCAATGTTGAGTCAACCAACTTTGGCTAAGGCCTGATGTAACTGACATGCCATTTTTTAAAGGCAAGAAACCTTTTAGGACTCTCTCACCCAGTCTTGGCAAGATAAGACAATCCTGCTTTTATCCATTTACGGATATTCTGTAATTTTGTCAGTGGTTGAGGTATGGGCTTTTTCTGTGCCCAAAGGCCAGTTCTGCCAGGAAGAAGACAAGCTCCATGTGGAGTGTCTTTGGTGCTCAACGTTCTCTCGGGAGTAGAGCAGTGATGCCAGGAGCGATTGTGTTAGATTAAAGGCCATTTTTTATAGCTCTTTGAAGAGGTCGAAGATTATACTATCTACACTAAGTATGATCTCTATGCACCTAAATAACCTGATTAGCCTAAATATAAATATAACAAACATATATGACTATTGATTTTTATCTATCTAACTTGAAGACTAAGAGAATGAACAACTGTGCAATGAGTGAGGACAATGACCTCCAAATGTAAACAATGTATATCGTTACATAAATATCTTAATCAGAGGTAGGAATGTAAATATATGTATATATATATATATATCAATACAAATAGAGGTAGAAGCATACTCACATACAATATTCAATATATCAATGTACAAAAATCAACACCAATACAATTTTCTAAAAACAATAACTCACAAATACCAATATATTATTACCCATCACCAATCAATCCCCCCCTTTTTTTGAATAAACACCCCTGAGCTTATAAAATACCTCATGGAGGAGGGTTATCTGTCTATGTGTTACTTTCATTGGTTAATAAAGAAACTACCTGGCAATGTCTTTTCCCCAAAGCAAGAAAATATACTAAAGATAAATTATTTATAGTTGAGAATAATAACAGCAATAAAATATTAGTTTCCAAGTATTTTTATCTATAATTTCTTAGAAGGTCAAAAAGGAAAAAGCTTAGCAAACAAATAAACAAATGCATAAAATATCATGTCAGAAGGAAAAACAGATTCTTCTTAGAGACATGATTACTTGCAGGGAGAAATTTCTCCAGTTACTAACTTGAGAGTCTTTGGGGCACTAGCTTATCAAGCTCTCCTACAAAAGTCTTTATGTCTTTTTAAAAGGAAGAAACAGTAAAGCTTTGTCACTCTATAGCCTACATGCAACAAAGAGCAAAAATGTATCCATCCCCAAACGTCTTTTCCACAAAACCTGCAGTTGATCCCATAAATTCTTAAAAATAGGAAATCATTTACCTTTATCATCCACCTCCAAAACCAAGAATGACTTTTAATAATCAGTACAAAGCTATGTTCAGTATGTTTTCATTTCCCACTAACTCCTTTCTGTTTTAAAAATGAAAGAATCTTGACTTCTTTTGATGAGAGATCAGTACCCACCCCAGTCATGGGTTCTACTGGGAATACAGATGCTTCTGCTTATATATCGTATAACTGTAAGCTTTGTACTGAAGACTAAAAACTATTCTTGCATTTTATCTGTCTGTCAATAAACCCCAACTCCAGTACACTCAGGTGTTGTTTAACATCACTGGGTAATTATTTCTGACCAAATAGAATATCCTGCAGATATCTATTAGATCCATTTGAGTTACTCTATAGTTTGATTTTTTTAAAAAAATTTATTTATTTAGTATACAATATTCTGTCCCAGGCCAGAAGAGGGCACCAGACCTCATTACAAATGGTAGTGAGCCACCATATGGTTGCTGGGAATTGAACTCAGGACCTTTGGAAGAGCAGGCAATGCTCTTAACCACTGAGCCATCTCTCCAGTCCCTGATTTTGGAGGGTTATTTTTATTATGCTATTGATTTTAGGTTTGGATGACCTATATATAAAAATAAGAGTGGAATATTGAAATCACTCACTACTACTAAGAGTATCAGGAACTCTATCAGACCTTTTATACACTCATTAATGTTTGTTTTAGGAAATAGTCACTATTCAGAGCATATGCAGTATCTTTCTGAATAAACCACTTTTGAATAATTTTGCTTTGAAATTTATCAAATATCAGAATAGCCATGCCAGCTTTGTCCTCAGTCTCTGTTGTCTTCGCTCACTGTTTTCTGCACGTTCAACACATTTCTGATGGCATTTTCTCGGAGATAGCAGACAGATGGGTCTAGTTCTACGATCCAGTCAGCCAGTATATGTGTTACCTGTGGGTCCGCTGAAACAATTACTATCATTAAGGTTGGTCCTACGAGAGATTTACTAACTTCTTTGACTTTACAGGCTATTTCTCTGGTTGTTTGATCATTATGTGTTCTCTTCTTTCACCCCTACTAATATTAGGGATTTGCTATTTTATGTGTTAGACAGAATAGATTTCTTTCTAACTCTCCCTTATCTATTTCTTCTATTAATTTTATGTTTTCTTGTCTTCTCACTCTTAAAACCACCTTTCTACCTCTTCTGTGTATACTATTCTTTTAGGTTTAGTATTTGCTGGAATACTGGCTTGGTTTTGTCAAGAACAGCTTAGTCTATGCTATTTGAATGTTTATATTTTATCATTAATTAAGACAGATTAAATAAATATGGCATTCTTAGATATCAATTAATTACTTTTAATGATTAAAATAAATTCTTCCATTCTTTCCACACTTTTTGGATGGCTAAAAAAGATTTGATGTTATTCTGATCTGTCTTTGTTGGATAAACTATTTTGTCATTAAAGTTTTAAAATTAAAAAAAAAGAAAGAAAAAAGATGCAGAGAACCACAGTCAAACATTAAGGAACCTCAAAGAAGAGGGGGAAGAAGGAATAGGATTGTAGGAGCCAAAAGGGGTCAAGGACACCAGGAAAACACAGCCCACAGAATCAACTATGCAGGGCTCATAGGAGCTCACATAGGCTGAAATGGCAATCATGGAGCCTGCATAGAACTGTACTAGGTCCTCTGTGGTTGTTTGGCTTGGGTTGTTTCTGGGGCTCCTAAGTGGGGATGGGGGTGTCTCTGACTCTTTTGCCTGCTTGTGGGGACTGCATGTGGGGCTTCTTTCCTTCTACTGAGTTGCCATATCTAGTATTGGTATGATTGTTTACACCTAGTCTTATTGCACCTTTTTATGATGCTTCGTTGGTATTATTGGAAGCCCAGGTTTGTCTATAGGGAACTGGAGGAAGAATGTAGCTGAGAGGAGGTGAGGTTATAGGGAACTGGAAAGAGGGAGGGGAAGTTGTGGGGAACTGGCAGGGGAGGCTTTGGTTGGGATGTATTGTATCAGAAAATAAAAAGACAAAAAAAAAGGCACAGAAAGTCTCTACTTTCCTATGTACAGGAGTCCCTTGGACATCTCAAGATTCAGGGTGTCTGAAGTGAAATTCTGTATAATAAACTTGGACTGAGCCTGTTGCTGTTCACACAGAAGCTGCAACAATGTAGACGAGGATCCCCTAGGCAATGCATGCGTCTACGTCACAGCTGGTAACATGAGTCATTCTTGAAACAGACTTCAATTACCACTTGCAATACCAGCATTCAGGTTGAGGAAGGATGATTTATGGGAGTAGAAGCTGTATCACTCACTTTACTCATTAATGTAAAAAACAAAAAACAAAAACAAACAAACAAAACAAACACAAAATAACCTGAAAGAAGAAACTTAAGGCAAGAAGGATTTATTTTAGTTTTGATTTAAGAAGGTATAATCCATCTTGGGAGGAAAGGCTTGGTTGGATTCATGGCAGCTGAAGCTGTGGCTGGGATGACTCACATCTCCATGCATCAGAAGCAGAGTGTGGGGACGCTGGCTTTCTCCTTTTCCACCCTGTTCTTCAGTCTGGGCCCAGATCATGGGCTGGTGTCACCCACGTTCAGGGCAGCTCTCCCCTCCTCAGTTAATTTCTGGAAACAACTTCACAGACATTTCCAGAATCGCAAGTCCTGAAAGATTCTAAATCCAGAAGAGCTGACACTCACAGCTTCATTTGAGTTCCAGGTCAGCCTGAGGCACTGTATGACACCCTGCCAAAGAGAGAGAAAAACTAATATCTGAGCTCCCTGCTTTATAGTCCAAGTCAGTAGGGTCTGAGAAGAAGCCTGAGAATTCTAGGAAAAGGTTTTAGGTCACTGTTGTCAATCATCACAGTAGCACCAACAACAAACAAATGTCATCAGCCCTGAGTTGTCATGTTGACAGGTACATATTGTTTTCTCTCCTATTGGGTGTAGTCTCGGGTATAAGAAATAGGAAGCAATTAACACCATGTAAGTCTCTGACTGATTGCTATTTATATTATTTTTTCCCTAGACTGATTTACAACTTATAGACAAAAATAATGGAATCCAAATTCTTATCTTTTATCCATAAACTAATTCTATATGTGAAATTAGGGGCTTAAAATTTTTTTATCTTAGAAAAATAAAAAGCTGCAAACTTGAATCTTCATGCTGAGGGACAGAACACTAAAGCCCATCAGCACCGGGTCCTGCACAAGGTACAGGTACACACTGGTGGACTCAAGCTGTGCTCAGCTGCAGGGATGTTTAGCAGAGTGATGGGGGAGAGGACTAGGTCTCTGCTTCCTTTCTAGACTTTCAGGAAGATGGGAGTTCTAATGACAAGACATGAGGCCAACGGGTGGAAATAAGATAAAAGTTAACTAACTATACCCTTTTTGATTTCTGGGAGGATAAAGACAGAGAAGATGGAGGACCAGCTGGTGCCGGAGGAAACTCCTACTCCTAGACCTCAGATAATATTCCAGAGTATGGTCGCAGACAGACCTAGAACAGGGTCAGGAAACATGAGAACAGGATCAAGTATCCTCCCAGATATTTCCCCCTCCTGGAGACTCCACCCCAGATCTGTGTCACATCACAAGAAACCTCCATGGGAAACCTTTGTCCTCTATTTCCAGGTGTTCCTTACAGAGTTAGGTTTTTTTTGTTTTGTTTTGTTCGTTTGTTTTTCTTTTTAAAAATAGTCCCGAATAAAATGGCTGAAAGATACTTAAGGAAATGCTCATCATCCTTAGTCAACAGAGAAATGCAAATCAAAACAACTCTGAGATCTGTAAGAATGGACAAGATTAAAACACTGATGAAAACGTATGCTGGAGGGGCTGTGGGGTAAAGGGAACACTCCTGCATTGCTGGTGGGAGTGCAAGCTGCTGCAACCCCTTTAGATATCAGTGTGGCGATTTCTCAGAAAATTAGGGAACAACCTTCCTCAAGACCCAGTAAAACCACTTTTGGGTATATATCCAAAGGATGCTCAATTGTGCCACAAGGACAAGTGCTCAACTATGTTCATAGCAGAACTGTTTGTCACATCCAGAACCTGGAAACAACCTAAATGCTCCTTGGCTGAAGAATGGATAAGGAAAATGTGGTAATTTACACAATGGAGTACTACACAGCAGAAAAGAAATAATGACAGCTTGAAATTTGCACAAAAATGGATGGATCTAGAAAACATCATTTTGAGTGAAGTAACCCAGACCCAGAAAGACAATTATCATATGGACTCACTCATATGTGGTTTTTAAACATAAAGAAAAGAAAGCCAGCCTACAAATCACAATCCCAGAGAACCTAAACAACAATGAGGACTCTAAGAGAGACATACATAGATCTAATCTACATGGGAAGTAGAAAAAGACAAGATCTTCTGAGTAAATTGGGAGCATGGGGACCTTGGGAGAGGGTTGAAGGGGAGGAAAGAGGCAGGGAAGGGAGCAGAGAAAAATGTATAGCTCAATAAAAATTAATTAATTAATTAAAAAAAGAAAAGAGTTTTAGGAAGAAAACAAAACAAAACATAAAGGTCCTGAAGTGGCTAAGGACACAAGAATGGATACACTTTATAGTAACAAAACAGGAGACAAATAAATCTACATCCAGGCCTTGAAATTTCTCAGTGAGGCCCAAATCTCAGACACTGCCCTTGTCCTACCTGTACTCTTCCTCATCACAATGGCAGCCACAGCTCCTGTGACCAACACTCCAAGGAGAATCAGACCAGCAATGATTCCCATGATGGGGGTGGTGGGAGGTGGAGGAGGCTCTGGGAGAGAGAGCAGGAGAGGATAGAGGTGAGGGACCCTGGCCCTGCTCAGGGTCTGCAGAAGGGCTCCTGCTTTCCCTAAAACAGACTCTGGGCCTACATACACCCCTTTACCCCATTTCAGGATGAGGGGCTCAGGCAGCCCCTCATGCAGCACATGGCATGTGTATCTCTGCTCTTCTCCTGCAGGCACCACCACAGCTGCCCACTTCTGGAAGGTTCCATCCCCTGCAGGTCTGGTCTCAATAAGATCCATGTCCTGGGTCAGGTCCTCCTCATCCCTCTGCCAGGTCAGCGTGATGTCTGCAGGATAGAAGCCCAGGGCCCAGCACTTCAGGGTGGCACCTCCTTCAGGTCTGGGGTGATGAGTCACATTTGTCTTTGGAGGATCTGAGAAGAATCAGAGAAGAACAAACGTCTGATCCTTCCTGAGGACAACTTGACCACTGATCACATGAGTTGGGCTGGAGATCTAGAGAGCATCACTTAAGCTGTATGGGCCCAGGATAAAAAACTCTGTATTCCTTGGAAAGTTCTAGAATAAAGGGCTGAACCTGTACACCTCCAAGTGGAGTACAACCCAGTGACTGAATAGCTATAGCTGATCTGTGAACACTGGCAAAAACAGGGACTGAGATCAAAAGGGAACTGCCACTCACCCCTTCCAGAGTTGGTTCCTCTCCATCCCTGAACAGATGGGATCTCTATTATGGTTTGAATATAAAATATTCCCCCATGGCTCAGGTATATGAAGCTGTGGTTTGTATCTGGTGATACTGATGATTCCAATGGAATATTTAGGATGTAGAGTCTAACTGGAGGGAGTAGGTCACTGGGAGGTGGGCCTTGAGGGTTATAATCTGTCTCTGGCTATTCTCTGCTCCCTGATGTTCCCAGATGTGAGCATGGTTTCTAGGCTGTGGCCCTAAACGGCTCCCACCATCATTCGCCCATTATGAACTATTAGTCAAAGGTTTGAGATGCACAATACTTGAGTTCTTCCTCCCTTAAGCTGTTTCTTCTCAGGTGTTTTGTCACAGGATTGAAAGAAGCAAGTCATACATCCTTGAAAGAAGTAGATTCTGTGGGATGTGGAAATCAGGAAGGGATTCTCTGCTCCAAATCAATGACGAAAGAAGTAGTTAGTGACTTTCTAGAGTAGGAAGAGCAAGTGTCTGTTCCTCTTAGATATGGTACCAATGACAAATTTCTTGGTACTGCTCTAGGGCTGTGACAACACACCATGACCAAGGCCATGATAAAGGAAAGGAACAAGCTAATTGGATGGCCTGGGCTTTTGAAACTTCACAACTCACTCCCAGTGAAACACCTCCTAATCTGTCCTACACAGTCTGCACTTAAAACCAAACATTAAAATTGTGGTGTGTGTGTGTGTGTGTGTGTGTGCACCTGCACATGTGCAGCACACATCTGAAGGTAGAAGACAGCTTGTGGGAGTTATTCTCTTGCTGTCCTAATGATCCTTTCATCCGCCTCAGATTGTGCAGCCTTTGTCCCATAGCGGGGTGAGTAGTTACAGTGCTCAATTTATCTACTCAGTTTCTCTGTTTCCATACCTCAGATCCTATCTACATGTTTGTCACACTGTATCAGGAACCCTGTGCAGGGGCTCATTAAATTTTAAAAGTACTTTTCTTTTGTCTGTTTCAAGAGGTTCAGAGGCAAATATTCCAGTTTATCAAGGTTTCCCAGACTGAATCACCGCTAAGACCCTGTATGTATGCTGAATCATAGTCTTTTCCTTGAGTTAAACATTGGCCTGAGGGATATTCTATTACTTTTACTCCACTTTCTCTCTCTTTACTGTCTTATTCTTACCATCAGTTCCAGGTTTTTGGATTGCAGAAGCAGACATCTAATTCCTGCTCTTTCCTTTATGCCTGCTTCTCATTCCCCAGCTATAAGAAATGGTGATTCAGTTTATCACAAAGGCAGCATTTGCCTGTCTTTTTCTCATTGTCATTCCTCCCTTAGGTGGGGGAATTCTTTCTGGGTAGGTGACTCAGCTCAGTTGCAAGTTTCTCTGCCCACAGCAAAGGCCACACAGCTGCTGCCACTGTCTGCTGAGGATCCTGCCCAGAGCCCCACAGGTGTTATTCCTGGAGTTGCTGTTGTTGGTGCTCATGTGATAGACCTCATGCCATGTAGAGGAAGACAACTACCCTGGGGTTCCCAGCACTGCCATCCATCCTCCTCAGATGGAGCAGTCTCAGAGGCCAGTCTTATCATCCACGCCAAGGGCAGTGCAGCTCTCAGCTGCCATTCCACTCCACAGGGAGAAAGCAGGCCACATCAGCACTTTCCCTGCAAGTATGGTTTAGCTTTATTTGCATGTTTTATCTCCTGCAGCAGGAACCATGAAACCGATCCTCCCAAACTCATCTTTGGTCTTGCTGTGTTCCCACTCAGGTGTCAAGTACCCTTGATAAGACTCCAGCAACAGACCAAAGGGGGAGTGCATCCAAATCTATTTTTATTATCTAACACTAATTTGGCAATCTCATAAAGTTATTGGTAATTACTTACAGGCACACGAGTAAGGAGTTACTTAATACTAAAAATCACCTTCATCACATTAAAGTCCACTCCAGCATGAATAACAGCTCACAAAATCTGCCTCACTGGAGCCTGCCACCAGTTTATTCCATTAACTATCCTCCCTAACCCCCTTCCTGACTGTTCTCACTGGCCTTGAACTCATTCCCCAGCCCCTGCCTCTCAAATGTTGGGATTAAAACCATTAGCCCCTACACTCATCCCAATTGCCCTCTAACTTCCATATACACTAGTAAGTCAGCACCAGGTGCCGCTGGTAGGATTCCTAGTAAGAGGGGACATAGGAGGGTGTGAATGGCTAGAATCCCCAGTGAGGGTAATCCCAGCTACTCTGATTTTGAACATTAACAGATTAAGAGTCTATGTCACAGTGGGAAACAGTACTTCACAATATGTGGCTTAGGACTTGGTCCCGTTTTGCTTTCTCCCCATAAACTCAAGAGCAGACAGAAACTACCCTACACCTCTTACCTGCACGCTGCAGAACCTTCTTTCCTTTATCCAGGTATTTGAGAAGCCACACCACGCACCTGCCCTCCAAGAAAGACTTCCAGGACTTTGCAACAAGAGTTGCCTCCCACTTGCGCCTGGTGATCTGAGCCTCCTTAGTATCCACCGCGGTCCAGGAGCGCAGGTCCTCAGTCAGAGAGATGTAATCCTGGCCGTCATAACCAACATGCTTATACCCACGGAGAAGGCGGTGGTCTGGCCCTATGTCACAGCCGAATAGCCACTGGACAGTGTGAGACTCTGTGGCAGTCAGGGAGGTCAGCAAGGTGTTCTAGGTTAGCCCCACTCAATACACAAAGCCTGTGTGTGATTAGTCAAAGTTTATTTCAAACTGTAATGAAATCCCAGTAAATTTCCGTAAGCTTCTCCAGGATGGTTTAACACAGATTTCACTAACCCAAGGTATGTTTCCAATGCCCTAGGAATAGGAGGACTCTGTAGACTAGCCTTCCGACTCTAGGGTCACTCACCATTCTCTCTCGGGCTATGGTAGCCGAACAGGGTCCACAGTTCTAGTCGGCCAAGTATTAAGATGTCTCTGCCAAGTCGAGTCAACTCCTCCAGATCCTCTGGATCCCGCGCTATAAATGGCACCCGTGGCTCCACTCGCTGACTTGCCTTGTCGCTGTCGAAGCTTACAATCTGCGTGTTGTCCACGTAGCCGACGACCATGAACCTAGGTTTGCGATAGGCAGGACCGTACAAGGTGGTTGTGAAATATCGCAGGGAGTGTGAGAGTAGGGGTGATGCGCGGTGACCTTGCACTTTGCCAGACCGGGGAGCTGGTTCACCCGCTGGGAGCGGTGCAGGGCGCAGGGCTCCGGATTCGGATTGGTGATGGGAGCTTGGCAAAGGCTGCCCATCTCTGGGAGAGGGGAGGTCTGGTTGGGCGAGGATGGAGACATGGCTTTCTGGGTGCAGACTCTGCCTGGTGCCCTCACTCCTCCCCACAGAGAAGGTTTCTCTCTCCACCCCGTACTCACCCACGCGGGCCTGAGTTGGGGGCAGGGAGGCCATCAGCAGCAGAAGGAGGATGCGTGGTACCGTGAACCCCATCCTCGATGTTTGGAGAACTTGAATAGATTGGGTCTTTCTTCCTCTCTGTGGAGTTTTATAGCGTTGTGGGTGTGTGGGGACGGATCACGATGATTCTGAGCGGTTCTCTGAAATTCCCACATACAGCAGAAATGAACATGTGGGTGTCCAAACATTACTGGGAAATAAAGGGTTCCCGTTTATAAATTCTTCTTTATTACAAAAGAAAAAAATTAAGGCTAACAACAAAAAACAATAACAAAACCAGACTCAGAGGAGGATGTTCTGGTACCATTTCAATAGTTTTGACTGGGGTTGGGGATAGGATGAGAACAACTCTTGCAAGCATTAAGTTTAGCACTTGCTGTCTGGAGTAATATAGAGAGGAGAGTCATGCCTTTGAGTTAGGGTCATTAATGGATGACTGTGAACAGCTGTAGAAAGTGTGGAGGAAAAATACAGCATGCAGTTAAAACACCAATACACATAACATAAAAACAAATAGTTTTTTTTTTTTTTTAAAAAAAAGAACATCAGTATTGTGGACTGATTGGATTGTCATTGGCACAGAAGGTCAAATTATCTTGGGCTACCCTAGCCCCTTAAATATCCATTATTACTCCTCTCTGTGTGTGACCTGACATCCTTGTGACTATTAGGTAAATCCTTTCAGAATGTACAAACAGATCCCTAGCTTCCACCACCTCATGTCATCAGAGAGCTTCTCAGGTCTGTAACAGATTTCCCTGGGTGGATACAACCTGCCTGCCTGATGTTTCCACCACTGTATTTCTAAGATCTGTTGTTTGTGCCTTGTTGTTGTCCTATTACTATGAAAACAATAAAATTGTTACCATTTTAGGACACGGAATTTATAGAAACTGAAATATGTGTCCCAGGCTATTGTCACTTACATTTGACTCCAGAATAAACTCCCTTTGAGTTGTGATCTCTGTTTTTATTTTTTACATTCACAGTGTATCAGGAATATTCTGTTTACATAAGAAACATGGATGGCCATGCTTGTATCTTTCCACTGTAGTGGGAATCTAGGAGAGTCATTGTATCTAGGGTAAACATTACAATGTAATAGTTGCTTCTCACTGTTTCTAGGGTATTAGTAGACTGTATTAGTGTTTGATGAATGTATCTAGAACTTGAAAAATCATAGGACACTGATTGTTTTCTATGATTTATAAAGTTTTCTGAGGAAATTTTCAGTCCCTTGCATGACTTTGGTCACAAGACTATCTGGGCACACTTGCAGGTCTTGAATTATTGGGTATTGCAAACAGTACACAATAAGGATTAAAGCTGTGGGGCTGTGATTATTTTCTTCAGAGAATATATAGACCAAAGGGGCTTTGGTATGAGGAACTTGTACCCCCAAACACAACCTTTGTGTGCAATCAATAAATATGCTTCTGAGCAGAGGTTTGAGGTTCAGTTCTCAGAAACTGTTCCCCCTGCTGCCAGAGAGCCTAAAATCACATTCTGGGGGTGATTCTTGTTCTTTGAACAGCACACACAACACAGAATATCCGACATTCTATAATGTCACAATTGAATAATAAATTTACTAAGTGTGATAGTTTCCATTTCAGGAATTTAGCAGGTAATATTGCTTTCCATGGTAATCTAATTGAAGCAACACACATGCTCTTTTATTCCATTCTCTTTTTTTTCTTAAAGATTTATTCATTTATTGTGTGTACAGTATTCTGCCTGCATGCATGGCACCAGATTTCATTACAGGTGGTTGTGAGCCACCATGTGGTTGCTGGGAATTGAACTCTGGACCTCTAGAAGAGCAAGCAGTGCTCTTAACCACTGAGCCATCGCTACAGCCCTTTTATTCCAATATTAATTACTAATATTAACTGAAATATGATACAACACACAGTAAATCTATGCATATGTGAGAGTTATAGAATAGATAGATACAAAGGTTAAGGAGGCTGCAGTAGCATCTCATGATGCTTCAGAAGTGGGCTTATATCAATGTAAATAGAGGCTAGAGAGATGACTCAGGTTAAGAGCATTCACTGCTTTTGTAGAGGACCTGGGTTTGATTTTTAGCACTCACACGGTGGCTCACAAGCATCTTCTACTCCCAGTTCCAGGGTATCTGATGCCCTCTTCTGGCCTCTGCAGGCACCAGGAATATACCTGGTGCATGGACATACGTGCAAGTAAAATATTCATACACAGAAAATAAAAATAACCCTTAAAGAAATGTAAAGAGTCTTTTTAATATGGTAGGGAACCCAAATGATGTACAGAAGAAGCTGCTGCTCTAGAGTCAGACACTGAGCAGAAGACTGAGAAATGACTCTAGCTGCAGAGGTAAAAGGTGGGATTAGATCTAGGGAAAGGAATGGACAGATGGATGGACAGAGATGCAGATGGATGAAAGGAAGATGAGTAAATTATAGCAAAGTAGTCCACATTAGCATAGTCAAGCTGAAGCCCCAGGGACAGTGTGGAGTTCTCTGTCTGTCACTGGTCCACACACTGAGTGTCAAATGACAGATTGGTGTGGGGTCCATGACATTACAGTGCTGGGTGTTCACGTCTTTCTGGGATTTTGATGAAGATTGACTGGGGATGTGTCATAAGTTCTTGGGCCTGGTTCCCCTCATAAGATTCTAATATACTGACATACTCCCAAAGTCTCAATTCATCCCAATACAATTATAGAAGATTTTATTCCCCATACTTGCAACACCAGCTCTCAGAGGGAGGTGGGATCATTTCTGGGAGGAGGTCAACCCAAACTGTTCTATTACTCACTTTTCTCTTTCACATAAATCAAACAACAACAAACCTGAAAGAAGAAGGAAGCATCTTAAAGCAAGAAGGATTTATTTTAGTTTTGGATTTAAGAATGCTCAACCCATCCTGGGAGGAAAGGCCTGGTTGGATTCATGGCAGTTGGAGCTGTGGCTGGGATGACTCACATCTCCATGCATGTGGGAACACTGGCTCTTATCTGGCTTTCTCCTTTTTCTCCCTTTTCTTCAGTGTGGGCCTCAGATCATGGGCTGGTGTCACCCACATTCAGTGCAGCTCTCCCCTCCTCAGCTAATCTTCTCTGGAAACACCCTTCACAGACATTTCCAGCATTGCAAATCCTGGGAGATTCAAACTCCAGTCCAGCTGACACTGAAGATTAGCTGTTACAGCTACATGGTGAGTTCCAGTCCAGCCTGGGGTACAGTGTGAGACCCTGCCAAAATAAAGATAAGGCGAGGGCTAGAAGATGGTTCAGTAAGAACATTTGTTCATCTTGCAGATAACCAATGTTCAGTTTCCAGAATCTTCATGGTGATTTACAACAGCCTGTAACTCCAGTTCCAGAGAATCTAATGTCCTTTTCTGACCTTCTCAGGCTGGTGCACACATAATACACATAAACACAAGAGGCAAACCTACAATAACAAAATAAAATAAGTAAAAAAACTTTATTAAAAATAGCTGGCTGGAGAAATGGCTTATGGATGAGCTTAGATGGCTCACTGGCTGCTATAGCAGAGGACCTGGGTTCAGTTCCTAGTGCATACAGCATGGCTCACAAACATCTCTAACTCCATTCCTAGGGATCCCACACATTTTACTGACTCCTGAAGTCTCCCTCATGCAGGTAATATGCATGCATACATGTACACACTTCTTAAGGCTCGGAGGAGGGAGGACTATCTGGGCTCCATGCTCAACTATCTAAGACAGGTCTGGGAAGAAGACTGAGTATTTTAGAAAAAGATTTGTGGTCAGTGATATCCATCATCAGAGCATCAACCACAAAGAAAAACAACCTCAAATGGGCATATAATCTTTTCCCCTGAGAATGTGAAAATTCTCAGCGAATATCTGCCCTGAGTTGTCATGTCACAGATACACATTGCTTTCTCTCCCATTGAGTTTAGTTACAGGTGGAAGACTTAGGAAGCATTTCACATAATAGAAGCCTCTAGCTATGTGCTCTCTGAAAGTCTCCTTATTGATTTCTCACTTTTAGGTAAAGATACAAGAGTTCAAATTCTTGTCACTTATTAAGCATAAAGGAATTATGTATATGATATTGGATGGTGAAAGGTTATTTTATTATGGAACCAAATTTGAGTATTCACAGCTAGGAGGAGAACACACAAGCCTATCAATGCCAGGTGCCATATAGGATACACTGTTCCTGCCACGGGATATAGGTGCTGTTCACTGTGGTTGGGACCATTTCCCTGCAGCTCCTGGAAACGCTGTGGCAATGTTAGCTCTGTCAAAAGCATTCTCTGTGGTTTCAGCTTTTCCTTAACACTGTGTGCTGAGGGGCTGGAGAGATGGCTCAGAGGTTAAGAGCACTGACTGCCCTTCCAGAGGTCCTGAGTTCAATTCCCAGCAACCACATGGTGGCTCACAACCATCAGTAATGAGATCTGGTGCCCTCTTCTGGCCTGAAGGCATACATGCAGGAAGAACCCAGTATATACATAATTAATAAATAAGTCCTTAAAAAAAAAAACACTGTGTGCTGAGTTAACGTCAGCATGTTGTTGTTTGACTGGTGGAACCAAGGACTCATGATGTACTCAGCTGCAGGAAGGCTTTTGGGCAGGTGATGGTGACTTGGTCTTTGCTTCCTTTCTAGACTCTCAGGGTGTATCCCCTGAAGCATACAGAGAGTTCAAGAGCTGAGACAGATCATCAAGGGATGGAGACGAAATGGGAAAAGTCTCAGAATACACTAAGTAACTACGCTTTCCAATCTGTAGGAAGAAAAAGATGGGGAAAGAGGCAGAATAGGAAATCCTAGAATTCCTGAGTTCAGAACCATGGGAATGTTTTTAGAATTATCATCGAAGACCTAGAGCCAAATCAGGAAATAGGAGGGATCAAGAAAAGCCTAAGCCCTAGCCTGGAGATCTGTCCCAACCACAGTGTCGTGTCCAGTCACATCAGTGTGAGATGTTTGTCACTTACTTTCAAATACACTTTAGTAAGAAAGCACAGGTCCAAATTAGATAATC